GAAATACATTTGAGTTTTTCTGAAATTCATTTGGCCTTTTCTGAAACTCCTTTGGCCTTTTCTGAAATACATTTGTGTTTTGTGTTTACTGTTGGAGAAGGTGTAGTTCCAGCTTTTATAATAGTAATAACAATTTTAAAATAATAAGTTTTTGAAAAGAGATGGTGAAAAACAGTTGTTGATAAACTTGTTAATAAAAAAATGGTGATGCTAAAAATAAAGGTAATATAAAAAAAGCAAAATAAAAAATGTAAATGCCATTGGCCAGTCACTAAACATTACTACTGGTGACAGAACTAAACATAACTGCCGGTCAGATCTTTAAAGTTTCCTTGCAGTATTTACCAGTATCTTCCTTTTTCTTGTGGAAAACATTAAATCTCCGAAACATGTCCGCTAGGAAAAGCATCAATGTTTTTTTTCGGAGCGATTGAAGTAAGACGCAATAGAACTTCGTGAATTTTGGCCTATAACTACCTCGGAAGACATTAACAGATGACCTCGTCATTTCAATGGTGACAAACGAGCTGGAAGTTTACCCCTCTAGAACGAGATTAGTCCTCTAATGAAATCTTTTGATAATTAATTTCAAAGAGCGGAGAACAAAAGCATTTAATGTTATTTATTCCTACAGTAGTACAGAATCTTTTCAGTGGATTGAGTTTTTTTTTGCGTTCCAGGACCGCATCCCAGCGCGCAACCCCATTATTCGAAGAATTTTCGAAAATGCACAACTATGTACAATCATACATCGCTTTCTAACGCAGCTACTGATTACAGACCCTTCTCACTTCTGTGAGCTCTTAAATCGAATAAGTCAGAATGGCCGCACCGCGACCCAAGGGTTGATTACCGCATCTCGCACTGAGTTATACACGTTGTGATTATATCAAAGTAACGATACGAAAGTAACGGTCGTTGATTGGATTAGTAACGAATACATACGGGTGTCCTACTTTTCGTTACTTTTACAGCTCTACTAACAATAGGTTCATGTAAAAATTATGCAGTAACTTGCCAGCAACTCTCCAGTTGCTTAAGTTCTGAGAATTCGCTCTCATAAAAAAATACCCAAAACGGTATGTGAACGCAAATCCAGATGAATCACTCTATGTATCACTAAACTAAATTCGCAAGCTGTTTAAATAATATACTTATAGGTACATACATGCATATCTTTACCTAAATATAGAAAGACCCTAACTCATATAGTCGCTAAAATGCGAAAAATCCCTAACTGACTAAAATTTTTTATTGCTTAAAATGAAGCCCCGCATTCGATGAAATGCATCATAATCAATCAAAACAGGAATTTTTGATTTTTCCTTAGTTACCGCTTATTATATTAGGGCCTTTCTATATTAAGGTAACGAAAGGTATCTTTGCTGTTGGTTTTCGTCTTAAAAAAAACGCGCATACAACGTTTTTAATACAAATTTTCGAAAGTTGGAGGTTTTTGAGCAAGTATCGTAAAATATTTTTTTTTCCCAGTCCCGCTTGCAAATTTTTTAAGTCCTTCCTAATACCGACTCTCGGGGCTATTTTGAAACCAGTACCGTCTCTAGAAGCTACCGTACCATATTTAAATAAGTACCGTACCAACTGTAAATGCGAATTGTTTTATGTTACTTTACACATCGGACCTACACTATATTCCAACATAATGCTAAATTCCTCTTTAGGTGACGCAAATACATATGTAAATCAAATTAATAACCTAAAATTTAATTTTTCTTTTTTTTTTTGTTATTGTTGTTTTCGACTGGTGGGTGTATGATGTATTTAGGAGCGAATTTCCGTCATCCCTTGTCAAATTTGGTGTGGAGACAAACCGGTTTCATAAAATTTAATTCCTTAATTTTTCATATTCGGATCGCGTTCCTCATACGCAACGGTATTAAATCGTAATGATCCCATGTTCCACGCCTTAATAATTTTGTGAAACCCCTTCTGATACTTTTTTTTCTTATCAATTAATTGTCAATAATTTTATTAAACAAAATCTGGCGCGTACTTGCATTACCAAAAGAATATATATATGTACATATGTATGAAAAAGCAAACGAAAGCTTTAATTAGCTTTAGCATTTTCAGTTAAAAAGAGAGAGAAAGAGCAAAGAGAGTGTTTTTAATTCGGCTTTAATGAAATAATGACGTTATAGGAAAACAGAAAAAGTACCATGGGTTATCACCTACAAAAGTGGTTGTACAAGTACTAAAATAAAAAATTCAAATGTTGTGCAAACAATTGAAATATGCTTACATACATTCTACGTTCATAGAGGTATAGATATGTCCATATCTACCATACACACTATTAGTGTGGGTCGCTTCACACGAAACAATACATTTGTTGATAGATGGACCCATGAGGAATTTCGATAGTTAGTAGAAAAAAGTAGCAGATACTAAACAATCCATATATATTTCGAGCTCATTCCAAGCTAAATGGTTTGTTGTTGTGCTTTCGGACTCGCTGAAATCCTTCTGTTTCTTCGGCGGTGGTGAGTAAAGGGCTTAAAATGTGGTTCCACTGCCCGCATATGTCGTTTTGTTGAAGAGCACTATCTGAGATCAGGTGTGAGTTTTTCGGCGTTGAGCTTTTCTTGCGTTGTTGGACGTACATTTTCCACACAGAGGCGTATCTTGGCTGCGAATAGAAGATAGTGATCTTAGGCGATGTTAGGTCCTCGGATCGTATGCACGTCTAAAATACTGAAAGTATGCCTTCCGTCTATCACAACATGATCGATTTGGTTTCTTGTTCTTCGGTCCGAACAGACACATCTGGACAGACACGTGGCTTGATGGACATTTTTAATCTGGAACCTAGTACAGCATAATACCATATTTCGGGCCCCGGCGAAGTCGATCGACCTTAGTCCATTATCGGAGGTTTTGTCGTCGGTGCTGAATTTTAACGGGGTGGTGCATATTCTAAAATCGTACACGTTCGCGAACGTGTATTTTAATTGTATTTTCTTTTTAGCTTGGTGTTCTAAGGGCCGTTTTCTGAAGTAACCTCTAACTTTAAAGCTCACTTTATATTTAAAGGTTGGATTAAAAATAAAGCTATGTCTAAAGTTAAGCATTTCTATTATCGGTTTTTGACGTATGTATGTTTCTTGGTTGTAATTCAATTTAAAACCGACAATAAAATGATTTACTTTAGACACAACCACAAATTTTAATGCAACCTTTAAATATAAAGTGAGCTTTAAAGTTATAGGTTACTTCAGAAAACGGCACTTAGACTAATATGTATCTTGCCAGACAATAAATAACCTAAAAAGTAAAAGATTTATTAAAAATATTTTTGAAACGTTGTACTGGTTAATATTGTTACTCATTAGGAAATTGTAGATAAGTTTTTGCATATGTTTGTATGAATGTATGTAGAATATGTGCATACATAAATATGTACTTAAGTAGTAGATAATGACGATTGTGTGTATAATTACTTTTTGCAACATTTACCCATAAAGTAGCTATTTTGCTTGAATTGTTTTCAGTTTATTTACGACAGTGCACACCAACGAACTGGCCGTTTTGAGCGAAATGTATCAAATTACGAATATAGTACTTGTGAGATTTTTAATATTATTTACCAGTTTTCCCGCTTTCCGAAACGTGTTTGTAGCAGCCGATCCCAATATAATATCGAAATCGCAATGGAATGGCGTTGAGGCGGTCAATGAGCTCACACGACAATCTTTGCCAGTTGGACGGGTAATTATTCTACACACAGCCGGTGTCGAATGCCAAAATGCGGTAAGGCAATGGAATTTATTTATTTATATTTTACATTATTTTTTCTCTTTAATTCATTTCATCTCTTTTATGTATACTCCATATACGCATTTACATATTTCAGGACAGCTGCTCTCAGCAAGTTCGCAACATTCAAAATTATCATCTGCGGAGCTTGCATTTCGATGATATCGCCTACAATTTTCTCATCGGCAATGATGGCAGCATTTACGAGGGACGTGGTTGGGAATTTGTCAGCGCGGCTGTTAAAAATTATAATGTTGGCAGCTTGAGTGTAGCTTTTATTGGCACATTCGAGAGTAGTACACCCAGCACAGAAGCCTTAGAGGCCGCCCAGGCACTATTCGATACGGGTGTGCGTACGGGAAAATTAACTGAGGATTATAAACTTTTTGGACATCGCCAATTGTCAACAACTTCAAGTCCAGGCGCGACCTTATATGAGATTATCAAGCGATGGCCACATTGGAGTCGTACTGTTAGTTAAAAAAAATAATAGTTTTTTGATCGCATATCGGAATCAACATTGCGAAAGGTTTTAAATGCAATTTTTAATATTTTAATAATAATAAAAGGCTTATTTGCTTTGAAAAGTAGTTCGCTTCTCATGAAAAAAAAAAAAACGAAAATTCACTTAGTGCTGTTCGTGATGATGCATGTGTGCATTAGGGAGATCCCAAAATCATGTCAGAAAAGAAATCGACATTATAATGCTCTCGCTCCGTCATTCTTCATAGAAATTGTATAGAATCCGTGAAAATCAATATTTTTTAATATAAACGATGTTCATAGGTTCGCTAAAACCCCACAAAAAATCAATGCGGGGACCCATAAAAAACAGTTAATATTAAAACGTGCTTAAATAAACAGTAGGATATTATTATTGCATTACGAAAAAAAAAATTTTCCCCCATATATATCAGTTAGAAATTAAACTTTTTTCAAATTAAATAAAACCATTTTCTAATTAAATTCAACGTTTTTCAATTTAAATGAAACTTTCTTTTTTCATTTACTATGAATTCGCTGTTACACTTTGCTTTTCTCTATGGTCAAGGCAGCTATTAAATAAAATTGAATGTAGATCAGAGCCATGGGCGCAACCAGAATGCGATTAAAGGGTGTGGGAGGGATGGGAGGCTCGAAACTATTAAGTTGTTGGGGCATGGAATTTTACCTTGGATATTAGGGGGTAAGTGTTAGCGAGACATGGTGGAAATGGTTCTTAATAGGTTAAGTTGATTTCCTGTTCCTAAACTCAATAATGTTTAATACTTAATTTAAGAATGTTTCATTTAATTTGAAAAAAGTTTCATTTAATTTTAATAAAGTTTCATTGATTCTGAAAAAGGTTTCATTTAATTTGAAAAACGTTGCACTTAATTTCATTTCATTTAAACTGAAAATGCTATATATGTAATACATTGGAAACGTTAACGCTTTGAGCGACCGTATCATATTTTTTGATTAAAACAAAAACAGGGGTATATTTTTTCGATATAGAATAACCCTAGGGGTGTGAGCATTGAAATACCGACTTTAATTATTATTTTTTTTTTTACCACCCTAATCCTATTATATTACATATACATATACGTACTATTACTTCATTTTTCTACTAACATCTGGTTTTGATATGTCACATTTATGTAAGATAAAATGGTTCTTATGTATATGAACGCTGTATAATAAGAAAACGAATTATTAATAAAATCCAGATAAATATGTATTTATATGCATGTATAGAAATTTCGAGCCAATAGGGAAATAATTTCGCGATTAAACAACTCAAAGTAAGGTTGCGTTTATGTTGGAGTCCAGCCGAGCTAAGCGAAGCGAAAAAAAAGGTAAATGTGTATTACGTTTATAGCAGGGACCGTAACGACTATGATCTTTATATAAAAATCATAATTTTACCATTAAAGTTAGATTTAATTTTTTCCGATAAAAATGTACCCTTATTTTATTTACTTATTTATTTTTGCCTTCAAAAATAAACGTTAATTTTTGGATCTTATTTTTTCGATCAATATTTGATTGTTTTTTTTTATTTCTTTGATCATATAACCGTTATTTCCAGATCTAATTTTTTAAATCATAAAAGTTCATAATCATAAAAACTCAGTCTAAAAGCCTGATTATGGCAACTTAACTTAACTTAACGGAACGTA